ACCTTTCAGTTAGCAGGCTGACAGCTTACACATAACAACACGGGGCTTTTTTCATGGCTCACCATGTTACCAAATTCAAGAGGCTAAGAATGACTTGAGTCAAGTAGACTGAAGCAAAGTCAAATTTCTTCCCAGAGAGGAACAGTCAGTGAGAATGGCTTATATAACGGGGCTTTCTTGGTTCTTTTCAGCACAGAAGAAAGGAAAGTTATACATAGTCACACATATTCTAGGGAAGGTTATGCATAGTCACACATATTCAAGGGAAGGCTATACATTATTCATTTGAGTGCATTCACAGGTACTGTGTTTCCACATGGGTTCTCTGTTCAGAAAATGGCCATCTATACCCCTCCCAGGGGTTGTTGTTTTTGTTAGGTGCCGTCGAGTCCTGTAAGATTCATAGAGACTATATGAACAACAGATCTGAACCCTGCCCTATCCTGTGCCATCCTCACACTTCCTGACACACAAGAGCCCATTGCAGCAGTCACTGCATCAATACACCTGGTTGAAGGTCTTCCTCTCCTTCACCAACCCTCCATCCTTCCCAGCATTTTATCCTTCTGCAAGGAGTAATCCCTTCTAGCAACAAGTCCAAGTATGTGAGGCAAAGTCTCATCATTCTTGCCTCCTCCAAAAAGCACTCCAGCTGAACCCTCTCAAGACATACCTGTTAGTCGTTTTGGCTGTCCATGGAATGTTTTGGCATTCTTCTCCAACACCACAGCTTCAAGGTGTAAAATCTTTTTCTGTCATCCTTATTCATTGTCCAGCTCTAAGATACACAGCGACATTAGAAAGACCATGGCTTGAATCAGATCCACTTTAGTCCTCAAACTGACATTATTACTCCTCAGTACTTTGGAGAGGTCCCTAACTGCAGATTTTCCCAGTGCAATGCATCTCCTTATTTCCGGACTGCTGGTACTGCTAGTGTTAATTGTGGATCCCAGCAAGATGAAGTTGTTGACAGTTTCAATCTCCTCTCCATCTACCATGATGCTGCCTATTGATTCAGTGGTAAGAATGTTTGTTTTCAGAAGCCACAGACTGGGAAAAAGTATTGGTAATGACATGTCAGATAAGGGACTTATATGTAGAATTTATAAAATATTTGAGCACCACAACAAGATAAACAATCCAAATGAAAAATGGGCACAAGATATGAACACGCACTTCACCAAAGAAGACATTCAGATGGCCAACAAGCACATGAGGAAATGTTCAAATCCTAGCTGGCTCTAAGAGAGATGCAAATCAAAACAATTATGAGATATCATCTCACCCCAGTCAGAATAGCAAATTTTTAAAAAATATTTTTTATTG